ACAAAGAGGAGAAAAAGGAAAGAAATGAAGAAAAACGTTTGGAAAATTGTTGGCAAAATGAAAAAAATTGAATTGAAGTGAAATTTGACTAATTTTTTAATGAGCTCTAATTAATCTCAAGTATTTGATGTGACGGTCCTTTTTTTGAACGGTAATTACAATTTATAATATCGATATCTTTCCTTTTTCCTCTTTTTCTTCCTTTAATTTCACTTATTTCGATGAATTATTGTTGTTCCCATTGAATCTTTTTTCAAAAAAGAATAACCGTTACTTAAATAATTAATTACGTTATGTTGTTGATCAATTTGAAAAGAGCAATTAAAATTTAATTGAAAATCATAGCGCAACGTAATATACGAATTTTTCCCCCTTCAGTAAACCTAATAAACGTAAACGTAATACGTGAATTTTTCCTCGCTCAATGGACGTGAAATGAGTAAATAAGCCTTAATTGTTTTAGTATATTTGATTATTTTTATCATTACTAAATATATATTCCAGCTTTCCCTTCCTCATTAAAAAAAAAAAGGTCAAAATTAACTTTACGTTATGTTAACTTTACGCTCACGTTACGTTAATTTAACGTTAACTTTACGTTCAAGAATTTCTGTTTAAAAGTATTTGATATAATGATCATAAAGTAAATAAATAAAAAATTTTCATTTTTGTTAAAAATTTTCAAATATTGCTAAATTTATAATTAAAATTTTTCAGCAATATTTGAGATAAACAATTTTTGTTTTAAATGGGAAACGACGAATTCAAATTGTCAAAATGAAAAGAAAACAGAAAATCATTTTGCTTTTTTCATTTTTTTCGGTTTTTCGGTTATATTTTTTTCGGTTTTTTCGGTTATACGTGTAATCCGTGGAACTACGTGAAAATCATTGATTCTAGTTGCTTCTAAAAGTAACATCGAAAAATGCTAATAGAATCTGTGCTTCAGTTTCTACGAATTACACGGTAAAAAAAAAATTTCAAAAAAATTCAAATTTTTTTTTCTTTTTTTAAAGTTGTGAATATAAATAAAAATATTGCAATCATTTAACAAAAATTTTCCTAAAATTTATTTTAAAATTAAACGCTTTTCTTTTCAACACTTTGATTTTTTTCTTCTCTCCAGCTTTTCTTATTACATTTTTTTTAATTTTTACTTTTTTGAAAACAAAAATAATTTTTTTAAGTACTGTTTAAAATAACTTTTTGGTCTTTTTTTCTTGTCCGCAATTCTTCGAAAAAAAAAATTTTTTTCAGAGTTATGACAGTAATTATGTCAAAGAATTGCTATGATATATTTGTTCGTTAAATAATCTCATAATTATCGAATATTATCGATATGAACGAAGGAAACGAAATGATCATTACGTGTAATCCGTGGAACTACGTGAAAATCATTGATTCTAGTTGCTTCTAAAAGTAACATCGAAAAATGCTAATAGAATCTGTGCTTCAGTTTCTACGAATTACACGGTAATAATTAGATAAATATAATATTTCTGTTTTCCTAAAAATTGCATTTTTTTTCGTTATCAGTT